ATTGCCCCCACTCCTGACCCTGCTCAGAAACAGAAAAGGAAAAAATCTAGTGATAGTCCACCTTTTTCAGTGCTGTTAGCAAACCATTGAATGCCCCCTCTCCAGAAAATGAGGACACCCCTCATTTGTCTCCCTGCAAAGTGTACCCCAGTTATGCCACTACAAAATACCTCATTCCAACATCACTTCAGGCCCCTTGGAGCCCACGTTCTGCTGCAGAAGTATTCAATCCTTTGATGTGAAGCCAAACTTATGAGTTTTCTCATGTAGTTTACGCATTAAAGCCCCCATCATATAGACTATTCTAATGGCAGAGACTATTCTGAAGCCAAAGTTTGGAAATATCAGTTTAAATCATATAACCTAATAATTCAGAGTCCTGTTTTTCCAAGCCTCTGAGTATCATTGCTCAGATTTTTTTCTTAAATTAGCAAAAAAATGTATTCTGTACTTGACACTTTGAAGAGGAGTCTGACGGTTTGTGAAATAGACCATATTTTGTTGTCCAACAATAAATATAACGGTAGTAATCAGGATTACTTGGTGGTTTAGTCAATTATATATGTAGTAATGTTATCAAAAATAGTCACCCTTCTGTTTACATTGAAACTCATAAAGTGATTTCAATGGTTTTCTTTTTTTTTGGCTTAACAGTGCTTGCAGTATGGGAGACTTCATGGCTGTCCAAATATTTCTGGCCAGCAGGGCAATAGACCATCAAGTTCCCCTCATCGACAGCTAAAGAAGGGCAGAGATAAGATGGAGACTCCATCCTCTGGTCAGTCGTCACCATCATCTTGTCTTGTCTTGAACCCTAGAAGCTATGGTGACACTGGGCCTGATATGAACAGCAATATGGTCCCTTCAGCTAGCCAAGTGAAGACAGGCCCACAATCCACGCTGAATGTGCCACAAAGTCATCTTGGTTTGGGGCACCAGACTGGTATGCAGAGAACAGCGAGCTCTTCCCCGGTTTATGCATCATATGAAAGTCTACCAAAGACCCCAACAGCTGATGGTAGAGCACCACTTGCCCGCTTTGATACCATGTCAGAGGTGGGATCAGTGTCGTCGTTTCATAGTGCAACAGTGGAGGAAGTAAAGCCACAGCAAACACACAGAATGCATGATGGTTACTGCTATTATGTGGATGAGGATTTAAAATCTCCTGTGAATTCATTTCAGCTGCATCCTAGAATTGACAACAGTCCCAATTCAAACACTAACAATCAAATTGTCACAACAGCATTTGTGGAGCCCAAGCCAGATCGAACAAGTACCAGCTTATCAGACAAAGTTTTGCTGCATCGGGATGGAAGTACCAAAGTCATGGATCGCTATGGCAACTTGAAAGGTAGAACATCCACAAATGATCGCTATAGGTTGACCTATGATAGTGGGTCACAGAGTTCAGTGAACAAAGATCCTACTGTTCGACCAGAACAACTCAGCCTGATTGATAAGAATGAACATAGTAAGTATGACAGCCATGGGTTTCGATTTAGTTTAATTTAACTACATGTAAATAATTTGAATCCAATCCCTTGAAAACAAGTTTTTGCTTTTTTCCCTATTTAGCACACATGTTCTTCCCCAATATTTTCTCCAAGTCCTCTTTCCGTCTGCTGGCTTGATATAACTGATGAAGTGTTTTTGAAAAATCATAAAATCAAATCTGATATGATGTTTGTTAGAGTTTTAGACTCAAGTCACTTGACTTGGACTGGAGTCGCTATGTTTGTGACTCATGACTTGACTTGTAACTATCAGTTTTTGACTTCTGCCCTGACTTGGACTTGCGCATGACGACTTGTTACCAAGACAAGTCATAAAACCACTCAATCAAACCCATTAAAGTTTTGAATTAGGTCTATCAAGTTATGCTATGTGTTCTTAAAATAATCAGCATCAGACTTTGTTCAGCTTGTGACTTCTACCTTGATCTTGTCTGCCTAAGGCCACATCTGAATCACTCGGCTGTGGCTTGAAATCACATCCATCTATGGCCATGGCTTGCCACTACCATTGACTTATGCATAATTTCCGGCCATAGCCAAGTGAACATTCAGATGCAGCCCATTGTCAGAGCCTTTGTCTGGGTATCAGAGCCCTCAATAACATCCTCATAGCTCATTGACAGAGCTGGCAGTCATGTAGTCATGTTAATGGTAAGTATTTGGTATCACTTGACAATTGTTCAAGTATTACTGTACATGATACAATACTGTGAAAGTGTACATAGGTGTGGTACACCTAGAAAATTGTTATCGCCCAAGAAAGTGCATGTACATGTAACTAATCAAGCAAGTCAAGTTCATTTGTCTGAAACTTGTAAGTCTTAAGTTGCAGGCGCAGTTTTTTTAGGGGGGACTTTGGGAGGGCTTTAACCCCCCCATGAAAAAATGAAACAGCAGTAGTGAAAGTTAAAAGGTGAAGTGATGTACGTGTGAAGGTTTAGCCCCCCCCCAGAAATGGCTCTGGAACCATGCCTGTTCAGTTGATGCCTGGCCCTGTTAATGCTCATTACAGCTAGATAACATAATACGCGACTTGACTTGTACTTGGACAAAAATACATGACTTGCTTGTGTTTGCACCAAAGTGACTTGACTTAACTTGACCTGTGATCAAATGACTTGCGACTTGACTTAAGCTTGCACAAATTGACTTGCTGCCATCTTTGATGTTTGTGAATTGATGATTTGTCAATTACCAGGCTTTGGATCAACAGAGAATTTGTCATCAGACCATAGTTCCAGCTTACCAGAGGCTCTCCTTGGTCAGGCATACACACATTATCACTCCCTCTCTATAGACAGTAGTAGTCCTGACTTTGAAGATGACATCCCCTCCCCTATCCCCCACCTTCAACAAGATGGTACATTCCAACATGGTGGTGTTCCCATGGAAACCACAGGGCTCCTACATAAGCGAAATGACAGCAGTGTTGTCACCATGGAAATGGACCAAGTCCGTGATGCTGAGAGGAAACAAGGCCCCAGCATGACTCCATCTGATAGAGTGAGGCTTTTACGAGAAAAATATGGGGAGACAAAATGTTAATAGACCAGAACTAGGTTACAGTTTCTAACAGAATGAAAAGTTAAATACTAGTTGCTTTCTTCATAAGCAAATTACAGATCTTCCCCTGGTGATTGTAAAATTGCATCTCACAGTAACTGCATGAAATGTTTTATTTGTCACTAAGAAAGTACTATACATAATCAGATTTTTAAATCATTTCGCTGTTGCATTATTTAAGTTATTTATGTCTTATAGAGAAGTTGCATTTTTATGTACATATCATTTATGTACATCTTCTTATAGTTTCTTTAAATGTACATTTCTGAATAATTTGTTTATTTGGGGTTGGACTTTTATGCATATTTGATCATTTTGTCTTTCGTTTCTGACTTTCTGATACAAAGTGCGAGCAACTCCTAAACTACATGTCTGTAAAGATATTTGACTCAAGTGTAAATTACAAGTCATGATGCAACTAATAGCCAACTTTTTTCAACTTAATGCTTCTAAACTTATTTGAACAAAGTCATTTTCATTCACTGAGGGTCAACAATTTTGGAAACATCTCTGTGATACCTAATTTGATTCCATACGTTATAGTGCCCTTGGTCTGTATATTGTGGGGGGGTTTTTAACGTATAGTGTTTCTGATGAGACAATTATTCCGAGTTTCTCCGAGTTCCATAGTCATAATCAAATCACTTCTACCTCTGCTTTGTATATATGGCGGTCATGATTTATGAAGTGATATTTCAACAGAAACATTTGTCCAAAAGAGTGAAGAAATACATTTTGTTCAAACCTAAACACTCTGGAAATGTTGGAATTCTTCCCGGCAGATGCAGCTGCTGATCAGTACTGCCATTTTTTCCCGTGAAATTGAATCAAATGTGCCTTATAATCATCAAAATAATTGTGCATACCCAAAATATAAACACGATGCGTTTGAATTCCGACATCTTTTTTTATGAAGGCTACGGTACAATACTTTAGAGTTGCCTAAATCTGTGTGAAATCCTTTGAAAATGAACCATTTGCTGTGGCAACAATGAATGGAATCAGTATGTTTATACGTGTTTGTTGAGAAGCATTTCAAAATTTTACAGTTTGTAAACTGAAAAGGCTTTAAAGATGTCCTTTGAGAATAGAATTTAGTACAGTGAAATATAGAAGGTAACATTTGCAACTCTAGTGTAACTTGGTTTGTCTCTTGTATTACATTGGCTATTCCTTTGAAGATATACATACAGTGTACTTCAAATGTAGTTTCTGCACTGCCAAACTGCATTGGTCTTTGTTGGAAAATTTACATGGCTTTTGAATGGTTTATTTGAAAATACTGGTACGTGTGTGTGTTTCCTTAAAGGGTTTAGTAAACTTTGCCAAAGAATATTAAAGTTTAACCTTGTATGTTATTTATGTGTGTTTTGTATTTAATAGCTTTTCAAATTTTGAAAATGAAAGCGGTTCTCAGCATTACCGTTCAGTGTTTTATGATGTTGAAGTCAAGGTATTCGGTAAAATTCTGGAAACAGTAGATTTTTATGGGTAATGAAGGTGATAAACAACCAGCATAGAACGCCATGTTGAGTACCAAAGTTTGTCAATCCACATAATTAGGTATCTTTATTAGGTTTATAAAGGGCTTCATGTATTGTAATCTGTTATTTATATTCTTGACCAAATTAAATCTCATCACCATGATATTAGAGGGAGCAATTCAATGGATCCATTATGCACGCCAATTTTCTTGGTGAAGTAAAACGAAGACTGGAACCAGTACATATCCAGTTGGATGCATTCTGCTTTTCACCTGGGTTCAGTCTCATGGCTGTGCTTACCACAGGATTCTGCGCTTAAAGTCACAATGCTGAGCTTACAGGCCCAACACAAAAATTCCTTGCTAACCTGTGAAATACGCTAACCGGTAGCTTTCTGCTATAGTTAACTGTGATTCTTCAGTAATGCAAAGCCATGAAATTGGGCCCTTTTGTGTTCATGTAGTTCATTGGATGTTAGGGAATATTTTCCATGATTTCTAACATTTAGATGTACTTACCAGTTACAATGTACTTTGAAATTTCCCACTTCACAGTCTCTGTGGTTTACCATAAATTACAAGTTATCAGTTCTCATGATGCGGAATAATAAAACTGTTTATTAATATGAATTGGATCATGGGAAAATTTTGTTTATATCTTGTGTCATTACCAACCTTTGTTGAGAAAAAGTAAAGAGCTTAATATCTGGATGAACATTGGAATGTGAGAGCCAAACTGTTCAACTTGTTTTCTGTGCAGATTTTATATGAGAACACATATGAGACAGACAGCAATGCTTATTCCATTAAAGGGGATTTTTACTTTAAACTACATTCCATATACATTTCATTATCGTGCTTCAAAATACTACTATATGCAAACATTTTTATTATGTAATCAGACAAAAATCTTGGTTTCTCATGCAATGGCAATTAAGTTGCGTTATATGTCAACTGCCTTATTGATAAAAAACTTATGTGACTTAAAAAATTTCACATTGCAGGAAGCGATGGGTAAAGCAATGGACAATAGTGAAAGCAGTGAATCAGTCAAAACAGCCTTTGAAAAACTACTAACTAATTTGTTCATTTGACTCACAAAAGTCAATGCCAAAACAGTAAAAATAAAATGGAAGAAGCAACAGAAGGAAAAATGGAAAACAAAGATTTAGCTGAAGTACAAAAATTATAATTTACCCTCAAAAGAAAACTGGAAGCAGTAACAATGCAATTACAATTTTACAAAAACACGGCATTGCTGATACAAAAGGCAGTTAATGCATTAACTGTTTAGTGTTTGATTCTTATGACATTCAAAAAAAAATATTTGACATTAATTACCACTTTGTGCTAAAAATATTCTCACTGCAGAATATATGATGGTCAAACCATAGCCAACATTTTTGAAGAAAAATCAAAAGAAATCTATCATGATTTCTTAAAGGTGAAATGTTAATAACTAGCCGTCATCCTATAAGAGTGCATCTATTTAAGTATCTGGCATGTCTGGTGTCTGTCGTCTTGGAGCATGGGATAGCATTTAATAGTATGAATGCATTGAACATAGACCAGTGTACCAATACGACAAATCACACACTTCTAAATTGTTGCTAATGACAATAACATATTACTTTTTTGAACGGGTGGTTGTTCGCAATGGTCACAGCAGGTTACTTGGATTTATTTACATTTTCAGGTATTCACAAGACTGAAACTTCATTCAAGGAAGAATCCAAGTGAGCTTTGAATCTAACATTTCAGGAAGGAGCATTCTGAGCTTTTGTGAAAACAGAGACGTTTTCTACTGCATGATACACATGTATGGTGTGATGATGTTCTGACCAGACCTGTACACAACCAAGTATTCTCTCTTCACTGTTAGGATAATGAATGTGGATTAAGGTATATATCTCTGAGTCAGTAAGCATACAGGGTGTATTTGTGCATGCTACTCATGTTGACTTCCGAATGCATGAAGATGGTTTAAGAGCATTACACTCGGACCAAGAGCATAGCCCTGCTATAACAGAGTATGTTCTTTCGTTGACCTGTGGGTCGTACTCATGCTGATCATGCACTCAGGAGTATATTGTATACTAGTTAACATGAGTAGCATGCTCGAATGCAACCATAGTGTTCTGTCAAGACTCCACCCAGGCTGAATGAACTGCCTTATACACTGGCAAGGACTTGGGGGATGTTATGATTGAAGCTCATGTGTTTCTTGGCATCATGGATATGGTCATCGTAGAAAGTGTCTCGAGCCTTGATGCTCCTAATATGGAAATTAATAACAAAATCCAGTGAAAACTTCTATGGATGCATTATCTATCATTCAATTTGAATTACTTTGCCAACATCATACTCAAACGCTTTGTCATATTTTGAGAGAGCGATATTTTTTTTCTATTCTGCACACTGCACCTGCTAGATACACAATGAATCTTCCATTGTGACATCTTTGTAGGTCATATTCCTTATCCAAATTGTGCCAGCCTGTCTTAGCATGGTCAACTCATTAACAGTCCCTTCTATTCAAATTATGTACAACTAACTAAGACTTGGTCCTCCTCTAGTTCATTCTGCTTATATTTCTGTAGCACCACATCTTCATAACTTCCTCAATAATCTCAAATTCTCTGTAGCCAATTCCATAAACTGGAGAGTTTAGGAATTCATATGAACTCCTTGCTTGAAGATTTCTTTTGTACATGTAATTAACACACTGTTTGCCATTTGAAATCCCAATGCACAAAGACTCTGCCTGCTCATACATGCACTCTATGCACACCAAATACTTGCTGGTACATCGATAAGCATCAACTCATTTCTTTCAACACATGATGGTGCTCACTGTATACATTTGGAATGTTGTGCAGAGCTGTGTATTTCATAATATGAAGGTGAACAATTCTACTTGTAGAGGTTGATACCCCCCACCGATTTATTTCAAGTCAGCAGACAAGCATAAAGCCGTAATAGAGGCTTGGTGTGGTAGCCATCTTGCAGAGCAGTTCTTTTGTGCAGGTGCAGCCCACTAATTCAAGTGCGAATTTCTGGCCAGCTCATTAGCATTAATAGTGCCCCCACAGTACAGTATCTTTTGAAAAAGGAGATTTTATGGCCCCCAAAATGGTGAGATTGTGTACATCTTTGCCAGAATCAACTCCCTGGGTCTTTGGGCTTTCATCTGAGAGCAGAATGGCTACAAAATACTGTTGAAAAATAGTCCTAAGTGCCTGAGAAAGTTGAGGGTTGTCACTTGAAAAATGGCTGCAAGCAAAAAATTACTTTTGGGGGGGTAAGTTTGTTTTGAGGGAATAACTCAAAATGTAATCGGTTAACCCACAGAAAATTGAAAAGAAAGATTATGGACCATACATTTATTTCACATGTGTTTCAGATGCCTCAGGGATGTTGATACACATCTTATTGGGCCCCGAACAATGCTGATTTTACACTGAATTAGTGGATTACACCCACGGGGAACCTCCTGTGTGCATATCCTGTGAAACAAAAGCACTAACCTACAAGATGGCAGCACTGCAAACCCTCTGTAGCTAGATTTCAGGCTTTTATTGTTTAGATAACATATGGTGTGTAAACTTGTCCTGTCCATCTGAAACAGCAAGCCAAAATGCTGGAGCCCATTTCCAGCCCTGATTGCAGGCTTCAAGAGAGAAACGACAACTATCAAGCTTACCTTGCCACATAGGGATGAAGCTGTCGAAGCTGAGCTGTTGAATCAATCTCAGGACCATAGGAATGGACAGCTGTACTCTTAGTGAAACCATCAGGTAGTTGATCCATGACATTACCAAATGTACGACCAGCTCGGGCTTTACCCTTAGGATTCATGTTGTAGAATCTGACAAATCAAGAAGCTAACAATTATTTGTTGCACGATGGATTTATAACTGTTAGTGCATTTGTATGAAGTGGGAAAATTCAATTCATTTCATCAAACCAAAATTCAGCTGTGCAGACTACACTGAGAGAAAACCTTAACTGTTCTGTTGGTATGTGAGTCAATGTTACACGAATGTTTAGCAAGTAATATAAAGATTCACTGCTTTCAAAGACAACTAAACCTGAATACTAAGAGGACATGTTTGACATGCAGGTGTTTGACCAATTTTTTTTATTACAAGGGCAGGTTAAAACAATAATTAACTGAAATTACGATACCGGTAAGAATATTTTGGATGACAAGGATTATAAAAGGATTGAAGAAAAATATTCTGAGCCACAGCTTTGGTTATCAATCCTTAATCAATACTCAAGAAAGAGAAAGCAGTGTTGTCATAAGAAACTACTGATATGACTTTGCCAAGTGCAAGAAGTTGGTGACAGCTTTCTGTCAGAGTGTTTCATTACAGTTTGCTGACAGAGTATTTAGATTATATTTGTGTTCTTACTTTGTGTCATAATGACTTATCCATCTCATTGGCTCAACAGGAATCTGTGCTTGTGGTTTATCATTGTTGTCACTATATCCTGACAGTTCCTGGAGAAAAACAAATTCAAAGCTAGTTATGCTGAATTTCTACCATCAAAAATGAACAGGTTTTGTGACCATGCGTCCAGAAACGTTGAGGAATTACCAAGCATTAACCAAAGAAAAAAATGCATACCATACAAATATTGACTGCTTTGAGTACAGGAGTATAGTAAACTAGCCTCCCAAGGTGATCCCTGGAGCATTCTATTTTCCAGAGGCAAATGCCTCATGGATCACCGAGGGAGACTAGTTTGACTATACTAAGAGATAAAGCAGTCAATATTTGTTTTATAACACCTCCCCCACAGATTCTGCACAATTTAAGCTAGAAATCAATAAAAAAGCAATGAGAAAAGCGTCGGTGTTCCATTTTGCAAATCACATGTGACATTATGTACCGACAACATACACTATGTGACATACCGGCAATTAAATGGGTATTGACTATTTGCATTTTCGTTCTCCTAACCTATTAGATTTGTAGCTAGTATTTAGCCTGGTTCAACGGGTTCGAGAGTGACAGATAAAGGTTTACGCTACGAGCCGAAATACGTGCCTGGGTACTATTCATGGTTTCGTCGCTACAGATATAGTTCTTTGGTTGCTATGGGTATAATTTCTTTTTCAGATCGAGGCTGCATGTGTATAGTCTTTATGGAGTAGTGGTACAGGAATAGTACAACCAACAAGCATCACATGACACACCTTTGGCCAATCAGCATACAGAATCTGTAGGGGTGTTACAATAAGAAATATTCTAATAACTGATGCCATTTTTTATTTAGAACGAGGCCAGGTACAGTGGCCCATAAACATTTACAAGTCCCTAAAAAATATTCCCAACTGCTGATTTAGCACCAGGTCAAGAATGAGGTCAATGCCACGGAACAAAGTGAACTCTGTGATTCAACAAACTAACCATTTCTTCATTGTGTTAAACAGTACTTATTCTGCTTTTCTCTTGTATTTATGTCCAGTAGGATTAAGTCTTGGCATTGTTTCCTCAGTAGGATTAAGTCTTGGCATTGTTTCCTCAGTAGGATTAAGTCTTGGCATTGTTCCCTCAGTAGGATTAAGTCTTGGCATTGTTTCCTCAGTAGGATTAAGTCTTGGCATTGTTCCCTCAGGAAGACTCACCTTATTCCCAACGTAGTACCTTCCAAGTCGTTCGTGCTCGCTACGTGCAGGTCTCTGTTTACCCTGGAAACTCTTGGAGGTAATGGAGGAATGATTGTCGGGATTGGTCATGTTCAGATACTCAGCAGGATCAGACTTTTTCATTCTGTCCTCAACGGCACTGGGCACTTGATCATTGGTGGTGTAAGCCTGAAAAGAGCCAGGAAAATAATCATTTAAATATGAGATACCAGGTGGTTTGCATTACATGACTAGAACCGGCTAGGTCAATTATAAGGTGAAGCAATCTTTGTCAAGAAAAGAACACAACAGGGCTAAATTGAACCAATATTTTTGTAGCTTGATCTGCCTGAGTCATACAACAATGAAGGATTTTGCATCCTTGTGGAAAGTAAAACTAAACCACATGCTAGTATCATTCTGATATATATATCTTACATCTCTCATGACTATCACTCTGCGACACATATGCTACTAGATTAATGTGACCATTTTGATAC